TTCTTAAACTAAGGCTTAATTTTATCACCTGTACAATAGAGGTAATTGGAGCAACCCTGCAATGGAGGAATTAGGGACCGTATAAACTGCTATCAAGTGAGTACTCACGAAATAGGAGCTATTGTCATTGTTACTGATTGTAGGACAAAGTAGATCACTGCAGGTGAGTATTGGGGCTGGAATTACACTGAAACCTTGGGTTGTAGGGAGTGAACAACACAAATAGAAAAAAGCTTCAAAAGAAACTTGTGCCTTTGGCCCTTATTTCTACATCCTTGGAATGACAGAGATCTGCCTACGTAAAATGGCAGAGATTTGAATTGTAGGTTCTGTAAAGGGAATGGCTGTGTGAGAAAAAGTAGTGGTTGAGAGTTAAGGAGAGAAACTAACATTGACTGATTTCAATGGTTGCATCACCCTTAGGTTTGACTTAAGAATTGATTCGAGAGCCTACCCCAGTGCAGATGGTTGCCACTGCATCTATCTTGCATGCACGACCCCAGGTGCTATGATATACATTTGTTTTCTCATTTAATTCTCAAAAAGTTCTGAGAGGCAGTTTTTGTAAATCCTACCTCATGGAGACATTTACCCAGAGCTGGGGTTTGAAGCTAGACCTTTTCTGTAGGATAGGGAGAGATGGTACTGTGGATGACAAACTTACTAATTTTTGTTAATTCAACCAATATTTTGTGTAAACTGTATGCCAGATACTAATAGATATGTAAGGGAAAATCAAAATGAACAAATGGATTTGATTGCCCTGTAAAACACAGGAGGTTGCTGTTCTTCTAATTCCTACAACAGATATAGAGGGAGTAGTACGAGTGCTGACTGTCTGACTGTAGAGTTGGACGGTTTTGGGTTGTATCTCAGCTTCTCTATTCCTAGTTACTATTTGAGCCTCAGTTTTCCCATCTGCAAGATGGAGATAATATAACCTAGTTCATAGTGTGAGGGAATTCAATGCCAGGAGAAACTATGACAGTTTATCTAAAGTGGTTCACTGAAGTCCTAGGCAGCATGGTGGAGGATGTGGATCTTACACATCCAAGTCAGGGGTAGGTTTCAGCTTCTAGGGTTTTACTTTCTTTTTTGGTGACTCTTTTATTCTTGAGGAAACATGGAATGGGTAAGTGGACGAACAATTTTTCAGTGCTGCATCTGGCAAAAGGAAAGCAGATTTTCTTAGGGGATGGTTAAAGCCTTTAGAAAGAGGCTTTCTCTTTTAGAGTGTTTAGTAAACTGGAAAGGACAGATGGCGTGGGCAGGAACCTTGTTGGGAACTGTGATATTGTGATTTATAAGAAGTATATATCTGATCATTTAGATGACCAAAATATTTTTCTTACATATATTTGGTCTTCATCCACAGTTCCTGGCTCACTGCTCCCAAAACCCTTGGAATTCCCTTAAGTGTAGAGAGTGATAAAGATGTCTTTTGTTAATGAGATGACTTTTGGAAAGCGTCGAAGGATCCAGCTGGTTGCCAATGGAGCCAACCACGTTTTTAAGAGGGTTGGCACTTTCAGTCCTATCCCATGACCTTCGGGGAGGGGAGAGGGGCTGGAGGTTGAATCAGTTGCCAATGGCCAGTGATTTAATTGATTGTGTCTATGTAATGAAGCCTCCATAAAAACCCAGAAGAGGGGCGCCCGGGTGGCTCAGTTGGTTAGGCGACTGCCTTTGGCTCGGGTCATGATCCTGGAGTCCCAGCATCGAGTCCCACATCGGGGTCCCTGCTCAGTGGAGTCTGCTTCTCCCTCTGACCCTCCCCCCTCTCATGCTTGCTCTCTCTCAAATAAATAAAATCTTAAAAAAAAAAAAAAAAAACCAACCCAGAAGCATTGGTTTCAGAGAGCTTCCAGTTGGTGAATACCTGGAGATGTGGACAGAAGGGTACACCTGGAGCGGGCACGTGAGCTCAGTGTCCTTTTCCCACACCTTGCCGTATCCATCTCTTCCATCTGGCTGTTCCTGAGTGGATAGCCTTTTTTTTTTTTTTTTTTTTTTTTTGACAGAGAGATAGAAGAGCACAAGCAGAGGGAATGGCAGAGGGAGAGGGAGAAGCAGGCTCTGCACCGAGCAGGGAGCCCGATGCGGGACTCGATCCCAGGACCCTGGGATTGTGACCTGAGCCGAAGGCAGATGCTCAACCATCTGAGCCACCCAGGCACCCCGAGTGGATAGCCTTTTAAAATAAACCAGTGATCTAGTAAGCAAAATGTTTCTTTGAATTCTGTGAGCTGCTCTAGCAAATTAAACAGGAGGAGGTCCTGGGAACCTCTGATTTATAGCCAGTCCATCAGAAGTACAGGTAACAACCTCGACTTAAAACTGGTGTCTCAAGTCCAAGGTAGGTCAGAAGCATAGGTAACAACCTGGCTTGTGACTGGCGTCGGAGGGTGAGAGGTGCGGAGTCTCATAGGACTAAGCCCTTAACCTGTGGAATTTGATGCTATCTCCAGGTAGATAGTGTCAAATTGAACTGAATTGTAGGACACCCTGTTGGTGTCCAAGAATTGCTTGGTGTTGTGTGGGAAGCTTTCCTACCCCACCCCCAACCCCCTCCCACACACACTTAGAAATAAGGTCCAGGAACCTAATTTAGAGACGAATACTGTCTCTGCATTTTTCTGATTTCAGACATTACCCCTGAGCAAACACCTCATCTTTTTGCTTCTCACCATCTTTCAGTTTCTTACTGCTAAGCCTAAGGCACTCAAACCAAGCTGCACCTCTGAGGTAATGTCACTTTTCTCCAAAATCACTTCCCTTCTGTGGGATTGGCCTCAGGCTGACTTGGAAGGCTCCAGCAAACCTTTATATATGGCTTTTCAAACACTTGCTGGATGCCTGGGAATAGAAAGGGAAATGGGGAGATCTGACCCCATAGAAAATCCTAATCAATTAAGGGGGGAAAAGTCTGAACTTTCTCATGAGAGCAGCTTGGCACTATGGTAAAGGAGTTAAAAAGGACAGGCTTCCAGCCTATGGCTGGCTGATAGGCAGTTTCCCCTGAATGCTTTAACAGGTATTAGAAAGAATATGATACTCAAAAGAGGGAAAAAAACCATTCTCAACAATTTTGAGTAGATTGCAGGCTACAAAGTAGAGCACAGTGTAATTCTGGACCTGCAGGGGTCTACAGTGAGCCAGGTATTAGCAACACAATGTTTTTAATAAGTGTACCTTACATCTATGAGGAGAAATGGGACGGGCTAGAAAAACAAATTCACAGTTTTCAAAAGGTAAACTGAATGGGGATCCTGAAAGGTGGTGGTGGTGAGAATTTGTACTTCTCAGGCAGCCAGGGGAACCCCTTTATCTTTCAGTCTCTTTGAAAATTAGAAAAAAGCAATAGAAAAGGGGCAGTAGTTCTCAGCTACAATGAGGCATAAGTGGCCTGTAATCCAACCTCCAAAGAGCTGGGAAGTCCTACCTTTTCTGAGCCTCTTTTCATAAAGGTAAAATAAAGCACTGGATCAAATGGCTTTTAAGGTCTCTTCCAGATTGGCCCCACCAAGACAAAACCCCCCATTCCTGTGAGGAAAAGTAAGTACAAAATGGCCCCAGGAAGTTTAAATTGGCCTTGGTTACCTTCAGACTTTGAGGTCCTAGGGTCTAAGAATAGTATTTATTTAAAGGTTCATGAACGTTTCAGACGGAAAAGAGGTTATTGGTCTTCGTGTCTCTAAATAAACCAGGGTGTAAGGGAGAAAACGAGTGCTTGAAAAGTGTTAAGTTAGTATTAAGCAAGGCAAGTCCATGCAAATGCCAAGATCTTCAGGAGGGATGTCTCCTCGGGGCCTTTTCTCCGGTGCTCCCATCTCCAGCTCGGCCGCAGTCACAGGTAAACGCAGACCGGCACACACAGAAGCACGTTGGGGCTCAGAATAATGCTGCTCAGTAAGTCGGTGTCCCTTCCTTCCCTACCGATGGTAATTTCCCCCCTTCCTTCTCCCCATTTTCTCGTTCTCCACCCTCAGGCAGAGATTCCTTGTAGCCAGGAACCGCAATTCTGGGTCTTGGTTGCGCTGGACCTGAACTGGGTTGGCTGCGCTGGAGTGTCTTGGCCTGCGGACCCAGCGGTGCGGGAGGAGCCGAGGCCCCAGCCGACGGATTGAAGGAGTGAACGTGGGGCAGGTTCGGGGATTACCCGTAGGACTCAAGATCTAGGAGGAGGGCTCCAGCGGCAAGGTCGGGTTTACACGCTGAGACTGGGTTTCCAGGACAAGCTCAGGACCTGATCACCGGTGGGGCGGAACTCTGAGGGCTGGAGGCGGGGTTATGGGCGAACTGGGCGGGGCTTTGCGTGGCGCGGGCGGGGCTCTGCGTGGTGGGAGTGAGCTTGGGACCAGCTGGGATCCGGCTCTGAGTGGAGGGGGAGGGGCGAGGGGGGACCGGTGGGGGAGGGGCTCTGAGTGGCTAGGCCGGGAGAGATCGAGACCCCAGCGGCCGGGCTATATGCATTTGGAGTGAACTTGAAACCCACAAGGGACTGGCAGGGGCGGGACTCTGCGTGGCGGATCCTGGACAAACAGGGGCGGGGCTGTGTGTGTCCGGGAGGGGCGCATCGGGACCGGCAGGGGCGGGGCTCGGCGTGGCGGATCTTGGACAGGCAGGGGCGGGGCTGTGCGTGGCGGGGCGGGGAGGATCTTGATCGCCAGGGGCGGGGCTCTGCGAGACGGGTTTCAGACCCCAGGGGCGGGGCTCGGGGGCGGGGCGGATCGGGACCGGCAGGGGTGGGGCTCCGTGCGAAGGGGCGGGCCCGGGAACCGCGGTGCGGTGCGTGGCCGGGTCTGGGCGGCAGCCGGGCCGTGGCAGGAAGCCGGAAGCAGCCGCGGCCCCAGCTCGGGAGACATGGCGGGCGTTAAAGGTATATCCGTGGCGCTCCAGCTCGCTCCCCGGTCCTGCGGTGGGGTGTCGCCTCCGTCCCGGGCTAAGCCTGGAGCTGCGCCTTCAGCGCGTGGGCAGGGAACGGCATCCCCCAGGCCCGCCGCCCTCCCTACCTCCCCGGGGTGGGGGTAGGCGTTCGCCCTCTCCCTTCGCCCCGCGGGGTGCGGATGGAATCTCACTGGTCTTCACGCTCTTGCCCGGCTCTCCCGGGCCCTCCAGGCGGAGCCAGGAGCAGTGCCTTCCTGGGACACCCGGCTCGGCCTGGAGCATCACCTCCTGGCTCCTCAGTTCCTCGGAGCGCCCCCCCGCCCCCGCCTCTGCCGAGTTTTAAACAGAGTGGGTTTTCACTTCCTGACATGTCCACCCTAACGCCTCTCCTCCCTCTTCCTGCAGCTCCGCAGTTTCCCATTTCCTCCATAGCAGCTGTTGTCTCTAGTCTTCTCGGCACCGGGGCTCTTAATCTTCTCGGTACTGATGATTTTTCCAGTTGAGCAGAGTTGACTGCAGGCAACGGAAAGCCCCCAGAAATTCTGTATTTCTCTATTTCTCGTAGTTGTGGATTAGGTGGAATGTTATCGCTACTTTCTTTAGTGTTTGTGGACGGACAAGAAAGTAGTGTTTGCACAGTACGTTTTTGAATGGGGCAGTTAAAAAAGGGGATACCAAGAATACCCCTTCCCTTACCTGTATGCCTTTAGAGAAATGGGAGATGGCAGCGGTGGGAGAGGCTATTGGAAGGCTTCCTGTTATTTTGGTGGGAAACCATTCGATTTCTAACGTTTGAATAGTGTAACTTGGTCTATGTTGGAATTATTGTCCTCTTTGGAATTTGTACCCAAGGATCTTCCCAGTTAATCAGTATCTGCTATAAACATGTATAGAGCATATTTGCATGCATGTGTGTGCACTCTGAAATTTGAGTATGTGAGCTCTTAGCGGCAGACACATTTTATCTTTATTTCTGCCTGACTTTTATATCAGTTTAGTAAATATGATACACTTGGACGGTGTCCAGTGTGTGACATGCCCATTTGAAGCCAATGCAGAACAGGTGACAAGTAGTATCTCAGTACTGCACTGTGCTGTTTAGTCATGCCCCCAAACTATCAAATAATAAAAACGGTTATGTGTGAATATGGTAGAAATTGTGATGTAGTGAAAAAGAAGATAGACTATGAAGTGGAAAAGGACTAAGGGAAAGAAGCATTTTACAGATAGTTCACCTTTTATTGAGGGACTACAGTATGCCTATGACTTGGGATAAAAAGATAATAGTAATTTGGGGGTGACAGAACTGGAAATAATTATATTACTGTTGAAGTGTCCAAGATGTGCTTAGATAACAGGAGGAGCACAGTGATGGTGGTGTGGATTGAATTGTATCCCTCAAAAGAAATGGTCATGTTCTAACTCCCCAGTACCTGTGAATGTGACCTTATTTGGGAATAGGATCTTGGCAGATGTTACCAAGTTAAGATGATACTGGTTTAGAGTGTACCCTAATCCAATGACTGGTGTCCTTATAAAAAGGGAAATTTGAATGTAGAGACACAGGGAGAACACCACATGGAAACAGAGGCAAAAACTAAAATGATGCAGGTAGATACCAAGAAGCACCAAAGATTGCCAGTGACCACCAGGAGTTAGGAAAAAGCAAGGAAAGATTCTTGCCCTAGAACCTTCAGAGGAAGTATGGCCCTGCCAACACCTTGATTAGAGACGTCAAGCCTCCAGAACTGTGAGAAAATAAAATCCTCTGGTTCTAAAGGGTCCACTTTAGTACATTGTTAATAGCAGCCCCAGGAAACTAACACAAATGGGATTATTTAACCCTACTCCTGGGAGAAAGAGGACTGCTCTCACAAAAGAGGCAATTTTGCATTGAATCTAAAAAGGTCAGTAAGGTAAAGCCTTACCAAGGATGGAGCAAGGACGGAGTTCTTTAAGTGGAGAGAACATGTGCCAAACAACTCCGTAGGCTGTGAGAGCAGCTGTGAAGGGGCGACACCATCTCTGTTTATTTGAGAGATCACTGCCTGCCCTGTGGAGGATGGATTGCAAGAGTCAACAGTTGGAGGCAAGGTGTGAGATGATGAGGACGGGTTCAAGAGAAGAGGGTGGACATCTCAGTCCCTTAGGGCTGCTCTAACAAAAATGCCAGAAACTGGGTGGCTTAAACAGCAAATGTTTATTCCTTAGTCCTGGATCCCGAGAAGTCCAAGATCAAGGTGTCAACAGATTCAGGGTCTGGTGAATGTCTGCTTCGTGATTCACAGACCGCTGTATTCTCTCTGTGTCCTCTTCACATGGCAGAGCGGGCAAGGGAGCTCCGGAGTCCCATCCATGAGGGCCCCTCCTTCATGACCTAATTACCTCCCAGAAGCTTCAGATACCATCACATTGGCACTAGGATTTAACATGAGTCTGGAGAGGGGATACACTCATTCAGTCTATAGCAGTAGGTTTGAGTGACATTTGGGAGATTGAGTCACCTTGACTTGCTAATTTTCTCTAAGACAGAGTGTGATGATAGTGTTGGTTGGTCTTTCAAGATAGAACTTAAAGGGGCACCTGGGTGGCTCAGTCGGTTAAGCGTCTGCCTTCGGCTCAGGTCACGATCTGACCTGAGATGGGATGGAGCCCCACATCCGGCTCCCTGCTCAGTGGGGAGCCTGTTTCTCCCTCTCCCTCTGCCTGTCGCTCCCCCTGCTGTGCTTGCTCACTCTGTCAAATAAATAAATTAAATCTTAAAAAAAAAAAAAAAAAAAACTTAAGGGGAAGAAGTGTGTTTGGAAGGAGAGGGTGGGATGTTTCAGTTTTACTCATGTTGAATTTGAGGTCCTTGTTGGTTGCCCAAGCAGAGAAGTCCAGAGTGGAGCAGGAGGTGCAGGCCTAGTTCTTAGGACCTGTTCTGGGCTGCAGCATCAGATGTGGCTTGGCCCTTGTGGTACCAGGGAGCTTTGGGTTGAATGCAGTGTCTCAGTAGAAGTGTACAGTGGAAAGAAATGAAATTGGATTCCTGGTTAGATCCAACTTTAAAAGATGGCAGAGGATGTGATTCCCAAAAAAAGAAAAAAAGGAATCAGCTGGAGGTACATTTGTGACCCTTGAGAGATCAGTGTCACAGAACAGAAAGAAGACATCTATGGCTCCTAGCTTTGAAAGGTCTCCTGCAGGAGGGAGTGATGCAGATGGTCAGACACAGGGAAGGGACAGTGCCAACCGGGAAAAGACCATCTGTCATGAAAAATGTGAAAAGTTAATTTTGTAAGTTTTTCTTTAAAGAGTGACATACTACATGGAAAAATATAAAAATTAAAATTGACAGCCCTTCCTTGTTCCCTAATGTCTGTATACTTGCAGATGTTTTTAAAAAGCACCTTGGCATCTTTCTATAAGACAGTCTCCCCAAATCTCTTAAAAGGAAGCAATCAAAATGTTAATTAAGTTACTGAATAATTTTGAGCCGTATGGATTTTTTCAGAAGGAAATTTGGCTAAATTGTGTCCTGTGCTTTGGGTTTATACCTTTAGGAAAGAACGTTGCTAAAATGAGCAGATACCTTCATCAGGCAACCTTTCTTTATGGAGCACCTCCTTTTGCCAGACACTTCCCATAGATTATCTCCTTTATTTCCCATCAGCTCCATGATAAGGTGAGAAATCAGACGGAGAGAGATTTTATTTTATTTATTTTCATTTATTTATTCCGATTTCACAGGTGAGAAATCAGAAGGAGAGAGGTTCAGTTTCTCTCTGAGGTCACACAACCAGTTGGTGGCAGTGTTAAGATTTGAACGCCTGTTGGTGGTGACTCAGAGCTCAAGATTGTTTAACGGCCCTAATGCTCTGTCTCCCACTCAGCAGAATTACAAGGACAAATACGTTCCTGCCCCCTCAGAGATTAGTGTTGAACAGATGCAGGGAATAAATATTTTATTCGGTGGATACTAGTTGGGAATAATTTTCTAGGAAGACATGAAAGCAGTCTTCAAATACTTGAAGTACTGTGGTTGGGGGAGGCAAAATGATCAAAGGGTATGTATATTACTGTAAGGCAGTTTGGGATATAATTTAAAGAGAGGATTTTCAGCATTTGGATACTGTCAGAAGGAAATGATCTGCCTCAGGCGGTCGTGAGTTCCCTTCACTGGAGTTCTGCAGACAGGCTGGCTGGCCTCTTGTAATGAAAAGAGGGAATTTATGTATTAGATAAGGGTTGGGAAATGCTTGAGACCTTTCTCACCTAATGATTTTAAAGTGGTGGGCATTGGCAGTCATTTGCCAGTCAAATGTGACATCAGCTAATGAAATAGGTAAATCACTATCTTCGCTTAAATTGGGAACCTTTTAATTCTTTTCTTTAATTGAATGTTTTTATTGAGATATAAATCACATACAATACAATTAACCCTTTTAAAGTGTAAAATTGGGGGCACCTGGGTGGTTCAGTCAGTTAAGCATCTGCCTTCTGCTCGGGTCATGACCCCGGGGCCCTGGGTTTGAGTCCCACATGGGGCTCTGTGCTCAGCGGGGAGCCTGCTTCTCACTCTCCCTCTGCTGCTCCCCCTGCTTGTGCTCGCTCTCTCTGTCAAATAAATAAATAAAATCTTTAAAAAAAAAAAGTGTAAAATTCTGTGGTTTTTAGTATATTCACAAGGTTGTGCAACCATCACTACTGGTTAATAACAGAACATTTCATCACCCGCAGAAGAAACTCCATACCCATTAGTAGGCACTCCCCATTCCTCCCCTCCTCCCCTCCTCCCCTCCTCCCCTAGCCCCTGGCAACCACTGATCTGGGATCTTTAACTCTTGGTTTTATTTTTCACAGCTCTCGTGGCATTATCCTTCAGTGGGGCTATTGGACTGACTTTTCTCATGCTGGGATGTGCCTTAGAAGATTATGGGTAAGTTATCATCTCAAAAAGAACTATTCCTGTTTTTGTACCTTCGACACCCGTTAGTATGAGTGTTAGCAAGTTTGGTCAGTGTAGCACCAGGCTCTCACCAATGAGTTAGTGAAGTCTAGGTCCCTTCACGGGTCAGTGTTATCTATACAGAGAGAAAAGCTCTTTTTAAACTTGAGGTATTCATTTAGTAAGCATTGACTGAGCACCTACTCTGGAGCAGCTGGGGATACAAGAATGAAGAGACACAGTCCTGTCCTCAAGGAGCTCACAGTTCTAGTTGTGCCTGAGAGGCAGGCAGGCAACTATCCAGTTGATCTGTAGTGGAGTTGAGTGCAAAGAACACTGAGTGCTTTGAAAAGGCGTATTTGAGTCTCCCTGGGAGAGTCAGGGAGGGCTGCAGAGAAGCAGTGCTCTTTAAGCCAAGACGTGGTGCCTGATAAGAGTTTGTGGGACTGATGAGTTAGGGGAGGGCATTCCAGGCAGAGGGAACATTCAACAAAATTTCTTTATTCAGCAGCTATTGGTTGAGTGCTTACCATGTACCAGCCACCATTACGGGAATGGAGGATTAAGGAATAAGAGAACCGAGGCCCTGCTCTCTTAGAGTGTATATTTCAGTGGGGGAGACAGACAATAAACAGATTCAAAAATGTCCATTCTGTCAGTGGCAGAAGTGTTATGAAGAATAAAGGGTAAAGGGTACAGATGCCTGGGAGAGAGTGGTCAGGGCAGGCCTCTCGGAGAGGGTACCATGTGAGCAGAAATGTAAAGGAAATAAGGAAGCAGGCCGTGCAGACAACTGGGGAAAGAGGACTTTGGGCAGCAGGGAAGTCCTATGCTGAGGCTCACAGACATGAGGAGATTGTTGAGGAAACCACATGTGGTTCATTATGGTAGAGCATAGAGTGTAGCTGGGATGGGCAGCAAGAAGGGTTGTTCAAGGATGTGGAATCAGTCAGTCTTTTTTTTTTTTTAAAGATTTTATTTATTTATTTGAGACAGAGAGAATGAGAGACAGAGAGCATGAGAGGGAGGAGGGTCAGAGGGAGAAGCAGGCTCCCTGCCGAGCAGGGAGCCCGATGCGGGACTCGATCCAGGGACTCCAGGATCATGACCTGAGCCGAAGGCAGTCGCTTAACCAACTGAGCCACCCAGGTGCCCGGAATCAGTCAGTCTTTAGGGCACTGTATGCCATGTAAAGGAGGTGAGATTTTATACTTCAGGCAGTAGGAGCTGGAGAAGTATCTCGAGAATAGGTTTAGAGGGTGAGGGGGTTTATGTTTTAAGAAGGTCAGTCTGGCCCAAGTGTGAGCATGGGTAGCAAGGTGCTGAGAGTGCAGTCAGGGTGAGTAGCAGGGCACTGCTGTCATAAATCAAGCAAAATGTAGGGCCGTGGCAGTAGCAGTGGGAAGAAAGGAAGGAGAGAGATCCAGGTTGGCAGAACTAACAGGTTTTGTTAACTGATGTCAGGGTTCAGCAAGGGGAAAGGGTTTGAGGTTGCCTCCCAGGTGATTGGCTTGAGCAACTAACTGCACAGAAGATGATGGAACTAACTTAAACCAACTGGAGCGAGTCAGTAGGATATTGATGAGTTCAAATCTCTCACCCCAGGGGCACCTGGGTGGCGCAGTCGGTTGGGCGTCTGCCTTTAGCTCAGGTCATGATCCCAGGGTCCTGGGATCGAGCCCCACATTGGGCTCCCTGCTCAGCAGGAAACCTGCTTCTCCCTCTCCCTTTGCCCCTGCCCCTACTCGTGCTCTCTCACTCGCGCTCTCTCTAATAAATAAAATCTTAAAAAAGAAAAAATCTCTCACCCCAGTCCTGGCCAGCTATCACAGAAATTGTGTATACACAAGAGGGAGCCAGTTATAAGCAATAACTGACATTAGTCCAGAGCGTTTGCAGCTATTACCGGAGTCTAGTTTTAAGGATCTAAGTTATCCTCATTTCTAACTGGAGAACCAAAGCCCATAGTGGTTAAAGACTTAACCCAAATTGCACAGCCTTAAGTGACTCCTGTTCAGTTTGGACTCAGGTTCTGAATCTCTTGACCATTATTCGTAACCAACTCTAAATCCAGGTGTTTTAATTCTCTGTGATCTCTGTAAGGTTAAGAAAAAAATGAGACATTACTGCTACGACAAAGAAATTAGTTTTGTATCTTAACAATGATAACCCAGGATTATCATCTACATTAGGAGTCAGCAAACTGGCACACAGGCCAAACAGGCCTGATGCCTGTTTTTGTAATTAACATTTTATCGGAACTCAGCGACGCTCATTTATGTACTATCTTTGGCTACTTTTCTACTACAGGGACAGAGTAGTTGAGAGAGAGAGCTTGCAGCTTGTAAAGTCTAAAATATTTACTATTTGGTCTTTGCAGAAGTTTGCCAATCTCTGGCCTATATGTTTTCTGAAGAGTTAACATTTAATATTTAAATTTTGTGTATAAACAAGGTTGCTTCTATATATATATTTTTTAAAGATTTTATTTATTTATTTGAGACAGAGAGAATGAGAGAGAGCACATGAGAGGGGGGAGGGTCAGAGGGAGAAGCAGGCTCCCTGCCGAGCAGGGAGCCCGATGCGGGACTCGATCCGGGGACTCCAGGATCATGACCTGAGCCGAAGGCAGTTGCTTAACCAACTGAGCCACCCAGGCGCCCCAAGGTTGCTTCTATATTAACAGTTCTTGTAGTTGACTATTGATGACTTACTGTGAATGGGAGCTTAGTCTCCTACGTTGTTTTACAGAAAACTCTCACTGTGTTCTAGGAAGAATTAAAAGCTTCTGGCTGTGGGCATGTCAGGTCCCAGCTGGATCTATTCTAGACCTCTTCTCCTCTCTGTATCTCCATTTCCTAACTGGTAAAATAAGGACTTTGAACTAGAGAATCTCTAAAGGCCCCTTCACTGATACTGTTTGGTGATTCTTGAGACATACAAAAATCCCTATAATTTGAAATTAGGAGTTAAAATTCAATGTTTACATCCTGAGTCCTCTTGATGAAGGTTCCTTTCCCTTCTTGCTTTCTGGTTACTATCCTGCACTTCTAATCTGTGGCTGAAATAAGCTTTCATCACAGTGTAGCTTTGCCACAACTTCTGCTTAGAGGTGCTGGCTATCAGGGTGGATCTCTGTTGTGGTGCTATGTGTTTCTGTGATGTGGATATATAAACGTGAGTAGAGACTGTGCTTTTTTTCGCTTAAGGAATGAAGCATAATAAACATCTACCTGACGGAGAAACATATTTTTGAAGTAGTTATAGAGAAAATGTAATTGAATAGCAGATGGCAATTTTTAAAATGCAAAACATTACAGTATTATAGTTGCCTCTTACAGTAAAGGCTATCTAAAATTTTTGCTAGTAAGCATATTTATTTTTATAACTTTCATACTTAAAATTCATTTTGTTTATTCAGTAAGTATTAATGGAATACCTCATTCTAGGCCATGGAGATAAATGGTGATTGATTGGGCGCCTGAGTGGCTCAGTCGGTTAAGCGACTGCCTTCGGCTCAGGTCATGATCCCAGGGTCCTGGGATCGAGTCCCGCATCGGGCTCCCCCTGCTCTGCGGGGAGCCTGCTTCTCCCTCTGCCTCTGCCTGCCACTCACCCTGCTTGTGCTCTCTCTCTCTGTCAAATAAATAAATAAAATCTTTAAAAAATAAATAAATAAATAAATAAATAAATAAATGGTGATTGATTAAGACAAATTAGATTCTTGTTCTCATAACAAGGAAATATCAAATAGGGATAAGTGTGTGCAAAAAGTTAAGAGGGCTATGTGCTTAAGGATAACTTGAAGTATTTAAAATGGATGGTCAGTTTTATTTCACGTAGCATGATATTCTCTGTGTTCATCCATGTCATCACAAATGCAAGATCTCATTCTTTTTTATGGCTGAGTAATATTTGTGTGGGTGTGTGGGTGTATGTATCTATCTCTCATATCTTCTTTATCCCTTCATCTATTGATGGACTTTTGGGTTACTTCTGTATTCTGGCTATTATAAATAATGCTGCAGTGAACCTAGATATGCATATGTTTTTTTGTTTTCTTTGGGTAGATACCCAGTAGTGGAATTACTGGATCATATGATAACTCTGATTTTTTTTTTTTTTTTTGAGGAACCTCCATACTGTTTTCCGCAGTGGTCGCACCAATTTGCATTCCTATGAGCAGTGCACAGGGGTTCCCTTTTCTCCACATTCTTGCCAATACTTGTTTTATTTTGTCTTTTTGATACTAGCCATTCTGACAGGTGTAAGATAATATCTCATTGTGGCTTTGATTTGCATTTCCCTGATGTTGAGTGATGTTGAGCATATTTTCATGTGTCTGTTGGCCATCTGTATTTCTTCTTTGGAAAAATACCTGTTCAGGTCCTCTGCCCTTCTTAAATTGGATTACTTGGGGGTTTTTTTGGTGTTGAATTGTATAAGTTCTTTATATATTTAGGATATTAACATCTTACCGGATATATCATTTGCAAATATTTTCTCCCATTCATTAGGTTACCTTTTCATTTTATTAATGATTTCCTTCACTGTGCAAAAGGTTTTTATTTTTTATTTTATTTTTTTTAAAGATTTTATTTATTTGAGAGAGAGAGAATGAAAGAGAGAACACATGAGAGGGGGGAGGGTCAGAGGGAGAAGCAGACTCCCTGCCGAGCAGGGAGCCTGATGCGGGACTCGATCCAGGGACTCCAGGATCATGACCTGAGCCGAAGGCAGTCGCTTAACCAACTGAGCCACCCAGGCGCCCCAAAAGGTTTTTATTTTAATGTAGTCCCAGTAGTTTAATTTTGCTTTTGTTTCCCTTGCCTGTGGAGACATATCTAGGAAAATGTTACTAAGGCTGATGTCAGAGATTATTGCCTGTGTTTTCTTCTAGGAGTTTTATGGTTTCAGATGTCACTTTTAGGTCTTTAGTCCATTTTGAGTCTATTTTTATATATGATGTAAGAAAGTGGTCCAGTTTCATTCATTTGCATGTAGCTATTCAGTTTTCCTGCCACCATTTATTGACAAGAACAAGCTGATGGTTGGGTTGGGAGGTGGACGGATGGGCAGAATGGGTGAAGGGCACTGAGAGATGCAGGCTTCCAGTTATGGAATGAATAAGTCATGGGGTTAAAAGGCACAGCATAGGAAATAGAGTCAGTGGCATCATAATAGTGATCTATGGAGACAGGTGGTAGCTACACTTCTGAACATAGCATAATGTATAGACTTGTTGAATCACTGTGTTGTACACCTGAAAACTAATGTAACATTGTGTGTCGACTATACTTCAATAAAAAAAAATAATAATAATAAATAAATAAAATTGAATGGTTAGGGAGAGCCACTTGTAGAAGGAGACCTCTCAGTTTAGATTACATAAGAAGGAGCCAGACAGTGTGAAGAGCAGGAGGGGAGCATTCCAAGCAGAGGGCATGGCTAGTGCAGAAGCCTTAGAAGTGTTTAAGGAACAGAAAAAAGGCTGGTGTGGCTACTGAGTGGATGAAGAGAAGATGGCACAAAATGAATGGATCATACAAAGCTTTGTAGGCCAGGGCAAGGAATCTGGGTTTTTCTAAGCCACTGAAGGGTTTCCAACATGCATATACTCAAAAGACCTCTACTGAATTAGCATGTTCAAAGGACTGTACTGTGTTCTGTAGGGAAAGCAAAGATAACTAGGTGAAGTCATCTTCACTAAGTGAAGATTCTGTTTTTAAGAAATTACAGCTCAGGGGGCATCTGGGTGGCTCAGTCCTGGGATCCTGCTCAGCGGGGAGCCTGTTTCTCCTTCTGCCTGCAGCTCCCCCTGCTTGTGCTCTCTGTCAAATAAATAAATAAAATCTTAAAAAAAAAATTACAGCTCACTAATAACAGAAAACAATAAAGATTCTAGATTACCCGTTGTATAGTTGGTTTTTTTTTAACACCATGTAAACTATCTACATATTAACGGACTAGTAATTTTTAATCATTACATCTTATCTGTTCCTGGTATAAATCATCTCATGTACGAGTATTGACAACGAAATGAATGATCGTTTGACCTAGACAGTGAAGATGCTTCTGACTTTGAAATGGCAGCGTGTCTTTAAAATGTAACCGTAACTTCTCTTTCTGCGTTTCTTCTGGGTCCACCTGACAGCGTTTACTGGCCCTTGTTTGTCCTGATATTTCACGTCATCTCTCCCATCCCCCATTTCATTGCCAAAAGAGCAACTTATGACTCGGACGCCACAAGTAGCGCCTGCCGGGAGCTGGCGTATTTTTTCACTACTGGAATTGTTGTCTCTGCCTTTGGATTTCCTGTTATTCTTGCCCGTGTGTCTGTGGTAAGTTTTGTCTTCTATTGTTTTGCCCAGTTGTTGCTGAGTTTACTTCAAAGGCCTGTGTCCAGAACAGCGATTTCGTTTCCAGTGCTTAGGCTTAATACTCAAATCCAGATGTGTTTTTAGTTTCTCTCTTCCATCGTAGATCTCCCTCTCAGTGTCTTGGCCACGTTTTCCGAATGCTCTCTTTGTTTCTCTCACAACTTTTAGCCAGACCATGTGATTTCTTGCTTTTTCAACTTTAAGCTATTTTCTGGAATTGTGCTTAAGTCCTTGCCTCTTAGGGCAATCCACAGAGACCATGATAGCAATGCTCTTCTGGTTCCAAAGTGAGCATCACATCACATTCTTCTGCAAATAGGATCATGGACATAATTTTCAACCCAATACAGTTGGCATATTTTGAGGGACAACTACACGGCCTCTAGAAGATACGGTGAATAAGATGCCGTCTTCACAGCTAATACAAAATTTTTCTTTTTGTCTCCAAAACACATGTTGTGGGTATAATTTATTCACTTCTTTGACATTCACTGTCTTTCGTCCTACTTGCTTTTATTTCCCCTCACTACATACTGTTTCAATTTCATGAAACTCTTATTTGGGGCATTGGATATCTTACTTGGGGCACTGAATCTTTGGAACATCTGCTATTTGTAAGATACCAGGAATAAGAGCTAGATACTGTCTCTGTTCCAGAGAGCACAGAAACTAGCCTGAAGGGTAAGTACACTATAAACGTATTATGTGTGGTAATTGAAACATGATCACAACACCATACGAGCACCAGGAAGAGAGAAATTCCAACTGGCATTTGATGTAGGCCTCTAAGGATAAATAAAGTTTTGATTAAAATAGGGAAGGCTGTTATATTGAATGGCACCCAAGTGTGAAAAGGCAGTATGTGGTATAAAGAACAGTTCAGTATGATGGAGCCAAAAGGATGTGGTTGAGATCGAGGCTAGAAAGGCTGGTGAAGCCCAGTTGGGCAGGCTCTTGAATGCCATGCCAGTCTGAACTCTTATCTAGATAATGGAGAAGCATTGAAGGTTTTTGAATGCAAAATTGCCATGACCTTGTTCTTCTTGTGCCTTAGAATAGTGCTTCTTATGTTTGGCTGTAAGGATTTCTGTTTTTATGCATCATGTTTTTTGAAGAACCCCTTTCATTGAGGTTTTCTTTCTCCTGATTAAATTAAAACAAAAAATGCCCACTAGAGGGTACTCTCATCCCCTCCTGTGCCTCTGTAGAACCATCTGCCAAGCTGCCAAGCTGTTTTCATTGGTATGCAGATTATTATTTAAAGCTTAAAAAAGAAACAGACCAATCCATAACTCTCCAATTCCTATTTTTCTGAAAGAAGGCAATGGGTATAGAACTTTTAGTACCCAATATTATAATTGGACCCTTTATGTTCTGGCTGCTTCTATTTTACTTAAGGCAATCATCGTCTACGAAAAACAAGTCGAGAAATATGTCTAATGGGGAAAATGATAAGGATGATACAGACTTAATTATCAAGCCTCACGAAGTAATTAGGCTAATTACTGAATAGTTCACTGTCTCCCGCCTATTACATTATTAAGCCTTTTAGCAGTTTCATGTAATATTTCATTGGATGATTCTAATGCAGAAAATAACAGAGACTTTCAAAGAATGCAATATGAAGAAAGTAAAGATTTAATCCTCTTTTCTTGTGTTTCAGATCAAATGGGGAGCCTGTGGCCTTGTGCTGGCAGGCAATGCAGTCATTTTCCTTACAATTCAAGGTTTTTTCCTTGTATTTGGAAGAGGAGATGATTTTAGCTGGGAGCAGTGGTAGCACTTTATTCTGATAAAATGCATTTTATTTCTTAGAAGTCATACTGTATGTATTTGTGTGCACATGTGGCCTTTTATTACGAAATTTCATATGCTATTTTTTTTGTACCTTTATAGCCTATTCACTGTAAGAAGGACTACATGAGAAAAAGATTAGTTTTATTTCCAGCCAACAGACCTCTCCCTTTTCTCAAGTTGAATTATGTTACTTGATGGGCTGTTCATATAGCAATGGTGCTCTCAGAAAATACACGAACACAGTCTTGCAGGTAGCTGCTCACTCGTGCAGTGCACCTTTTGCCCAGGGATGTGCCTGGGTAGGCAGGTAACACTGGAGCGAGTCTCCATTCTGCCCAGGACTTCCAAGACGTACTTGTGGCCCAGAGAGACGGAGGAGGTGGCTCCCTCTTTGTGTTGTCGATAGATCCTTGCTTCTCCAAGTGCGGTCCGTACAGCACCAGCCTCTCCCAGGAGCCAGTACGTCCAGAATCAGAGGCCCCACCAGGGACCCAGGGCATTTTGGATGAGATCCCAAGGGAATTATATGTACATGCAAGTGTGATAAGGGCTGTCATAGAGGAATACTTATCACATCTAGCATCCTTGTCTTCCCTTTGGCTGAACCACTTAATCTCTCTGGGCATTAAGCGGCTCATTTGTAAAAATTGTTTTCCGAGTCTCTTTGGTATTTGTGAAACGTCCAAACCGATAATCTCGTTCCTCACGTTTGTGGAACTGTTCTCACACTGTCTGAAAGGCAGTGGCTGTTTGCACAGTGCTGGGGGAACCGAATCGCCCCAGAGCCCCACTGGCATGCACCGAGGGAGGCCCGGCTTGAGCCAGTCCCTGCTTTAGCAGGGTGGGCAAGAGCAGACAGGTAATACTGTTTCATTTCCCTTTATAATCACACACTTCTCCCCAGCTCCTTCTCTGTGATGCTGTCCACCTCCACCCTCCCAAACACACACACTCCCCGCAGTTCCGACTTGCCCTTGCTTCCTCACGGCTCTGCCTCTTCCTCTCTATAGAGCCATGGAGCCAAGTAAGCAGGCAGAGGGTGAGCTGCTTAATTTTCTTCACATGTTGATGTACTTACTGTCTTTCATGCCTTGTAGATCTATAAAACATCTTATGCCCCTTTTAAATGAATCATTGGGAATACGTGTCACGCTGGCTCCTCTAAGCAGTTTTTCTAGCTCAACTTTTTGTCCCAGGGTCTGTTGAGAAAGGGAAATATGGGAACTAGAACCACTTGGTGAGAATATAATGACTTCAAAGCATTGTGAATGTGTGGTAACTGATATACATTGAAAACACTGAAATTCTGAAGTTCAGAATCTGAGGAATTAGTATATATTTTCATATTCTGGAGTGATCTGGGACCAGGAGAAGAGAATGGTGATACCTAAGAGGACAGTGTGCAGTTATATTTTGGCCTTGTGCATGATCTTTTGTTTTCTAAGTTCTGTGTACATGCAGAATTGTTGATGTTACTTCCAGTATTTATACTAGAAAAATTATATAGACACTTTATAATTTTAACCAGCATTTTTAATAACACTTGCACTTATTTTATTGTAATAAATTTCTCTTTTAACACAAAAGAAAGTTTAATTTCAAAAGTCTTTATTCTGATGTAGCCTTGCTTAAAAGATAAAGTGAGAATCTCTTGGTGTTCTGAAACAGGCAGTTTGAGCAATAGATTATCGCTCAGTTATAGCAATAAATTTTAAGATACCATTTTGAGTGTCTTGTTGGCTTGTGATAATATTTCTTTTCCTAAAATGGAAATAGTGTTTAATTTATATTCCCCTTCTGCAAAAGTATCTTTGTTACTTATACATATTTCAAATAACCAAGGTAGCCTTAATATGTAGCCTTAAAGCATTGCCTCTTGATTGTATTTCCAGAATGAGAATATTTGTAACTCTTCTCTAATAATGGAATGGGTTTATTGAAGTGATAGATAGTAGAATTTGCTCTGTGTTTAAAAACAAACATTTATTCTTAGTGCTTAAGTGTCAATTAAATAATAAATGTCGATAGGAAGTATTACCATGTATGAATGTACAATACAAAAGTTTCCTTTTGATGACACAAGTGTTGGGTATTTTTTTTTCTTTATAAAAGGTTCGTTTTTTTTCTGTATACCTTAGAAAATATTTTGGAGATTCAGAGCACACTGATTACATTCTAAAACTGAGACTACACATAAAGAATTGCTCACAAGTAAGTAAGCTTGTGAAGGGATTCTCTGTCATGTGAAGGGATTCTCTGTTATGTTCCAGACAACTGGCTTACAGGTGGACTTTGAAACACTTTGCCACGGAAAGTGGGAGATTGGTGATTGAGTTCCCAGGCCAAGCCTTCTGAGGCAGGCTAACCCCTCCTGTCTTTGACTTCTAATGCTCAGGGTACCTGCCTGAGTTTTGGGGCTCAGAAGCAGGGTAGCATGAACAGGGTGGAGAAAGCAAAGTGTAAATTTCCACCTCCTTTCCTAAGAACAAAGGTCTTTCTTCCATTTTTGCAGCACCTCCCATCCCCTAATGCCCTTGGGGTCCAGGTACTTTCTTCTGAGTTTTGCTGGCCTTCTCTCCTGGTGTGGGGCCTTCTTCCCAGCCTACCCTACCTGCTGGCTTCCTCCTATGCCCAGATCACCCACCTCTCTGCTCCTACCAGTCAGTTGTCTTAGTATGGCTGATACAGTGTGGTGCTGGTCAGACTCCTTCCCAGAAAGAAAGGCTGACTTGTGATCATCTCCCCCCTCCCCTGGAACTCTTACTAGTGCTGTGGGCACTTCCCAAGCCCTGCTGCAGCTGCATTTTACAAGGGAGTGCCTTGGAACCCAGTGGCTCATTGACAGAAAATGGCAGAGTTTCAAAGTAAAGTGGAAAAAGCATTCCAGCAGTTTATAGAAGGAGAATAATATTTGGGTTAGGGGCAACCCTCTCATCTCTCACCCCTTCCTCTGGGTGAGTTCTCAGCTGGTTGTACTTTTCATGGTTGTTTCTTTTCCTCCACTTACAGACCCACAGATTTTTCTTACAGTCCTCAAGAAATCTTTGCCTCTGAGGTATTCCCTTGATGAAGACCCTTCTAGAAGCTGAAACGTTTCATTAAGTTAATAACATTCCTTATGCTCTCAGGGAAATGCTTAGGAGACGTGACAAAAATGTGCCCTT